CAAGCCCAGTATAAGAGTTTCTGGCTTGTTTCGATCTTTTCTTAAGACAAAATATCGCTTCGAACGGCCAAAATCCTTCTCAAAGTTCCTACCGTAATCCTACAGTGACGGAGAAATATAGGAGATTTGTTCCATGCTGTAAATCTAAGTTAAACCTCCCACTACAAAATGGTGTTTCACGCTCGGCGAAAGATACGGAAATTAGATAGTTATTAACGATCAAACAGTGTGCACATCTTTTTGCGGCACCCTGTATCCTTTTGGGTAGATTGTACCCACACTCCATTGCCTCATTTGAGCGCTAGCAAAATCTTAGCAGCCGATTTCAACTTAAAAAAATCACTATATAATTCGGTTCTGTAACCGCTCATAACTAGTCGTTCAGGAACGCTCCGCAGATAAGGAAGGCAGATTTGGAATTAATCTTTTATGCACTTCAAGATGGTGTACATCCCATATCAAAAGGCCACTTCGACCAACCATCCTCCCCTTGTTATGCAAATTTCATAGCCACACCGTACCGTGTACAAATATTATGGAGTATCTCGTTTGGTTTTTATCGAATGTTAAGACGATAATCATAATAAGACGCTGTAAGGTACTGGAAGACCGTGATTTTGTAAAGCCAAGAGAGCATTGAGTTTTGTAGATATTCTCAGTCAATCCTCAATGAATTTACATGTATATCATTTGTAAGTCGTCCTTGCATATTCCCATTGTTTCGCATTATCAAGTCCGTCAAATGCATGTTGTCAATTTCACTGAGTAACTGAAACAAGTTGTTAGAAAAAGTAGGCTCTATGACAAAAACTCACCTCTAAGTAAGGCACTACTCCAAACAACGCCGAAATGCGGTCCATCACGGCTTCATGATCAAGGTTTGGATAACTATATTTTATGTGATTTACCATCGCTGTGCGATACTTCGTCAACGCGTTTTCGACTATCAACTCATCAGCCGGTGGAAAGCGGACGTGCAGCGCTGTAACTGTCGATGCATTAGCAGTGGGAACATGAATGCAGTTACTCAAAGCCAGAATTATTCTGTTTACCCAAAGTAACATATCCGATGATATCATATTATATCCGCGCATGCAAACCGTCTGAGTTGGATTGTTATCTTCAA